ATTATCTTTACCTACCAGAATTTGGGCCAAGTGAAGTTGATTGCGTTTTCATGTGCGGGCACTTTTTTTGCCTCGGCAACAAACAAATCAGCCGAGTCGAGATGCCAAACCGATAGCTCACTGCAAAGACCCTGGCGTCCAGTCAACACATACTGCCCGATAGCGCCAGGGCCAAGGTGAAATCGGTTTCATTCGTAAGACATCAGATTGGCGATACTCCTCCTTCTTCTTGTCAGCTAATATGCAGTGTACATGTACAACTATTACACAGCAATGAATCAAACAAGTCTCTTTCCGCTGTTACTCCGAGTTTCGTGTCAAAACACTTCATCAGACAGCATGTACATGACAGCATGTGATGTGATGTTTTACTCCAACAAAGGCCTAATTCTTAATTTAACACACGCACACACACACATAATTATTTTATTATATATATTTCAAGATTACTCAACGCCAGCGAACGCCAATCAGTTTGATCTCCTATTTGAACACACGTATATGTGTGTGCATGATGTGCCCTAGCTCACTTATATGTTATACACGTAGATCATGTCCATGATGCCTTTCCTCTGCGCAGGTCCACCGCACTATTGTTTTTAACGCAGATGATGATGATGATGATGATGATGATGATGATTTTTTTTTTTTTTTTTATTATTATCAGGGAAGGCCTCTTTTACGGGCAAAGCAAAGCACAATCATCACCATGTATCAGTACAGTGAGTAGTTAAACCCAACACGAATGAAAAATGTGAAATGGAATAAAAACAATATTTGTAAAAAATAAATAAATTAAAATTAAAATTCAATATCGAACACGAATAAAATAAAATAAACAATATGTAAAAAATAAACAATATCGAACACGGAATTAATTCCGGAACTATCTACTCAACCAATTCATAATGCAATACCCGCACACTGCGTCAGTGATGGAACTCCGCTACCCGATCAACATGCAGAGACCACTCAATCACATGCTTAGATTTAGTTAGAGGCCGCTCTCCACAATGGCCAACTCCCTCATCGCATTAACTGGACGATGGTAGGCCGAACGTGCACCGCGAATGCACATTATGGCTGCCCTGAGCAAAGCGAAGGACAAGCGACACCGCACATAGGCCATTAGCTGGGCATACGGTCGATCGGCAGTTGCCAGCAATGCACACAACCGCTTAATGAATGCAGTACACTCCGGAGCACAACAACCCGCCGTGGTAAAGACTAGAGGGGTAAATGAACCACGGTCGACATTGTTGATACGCTCGGCATACTCACTCTTCTTGCGGCGCTCATGTTGCTTCAGAAGATCACTGACGGGCTTGCTCTTGTATGATGCTGCATCCGGGTGGAAGACCCGGACATCGAAGAACGCATTCTGAGCCCGGGTCCAGAACCCACGAGCTCGGACATCAGCCCGGGCGTCGTTCGCGGTGTTTGTTGATGCCGATAAAAACACCTCGCCTGTGATCGGAGCAAGTACAGGCTCGACTGCCACATCTGAGCATACCTCCGTCAGAAGATCCGCCACGATATCTCTTACTTCATTGTGGCGAATTGTCGGGAAACCTCCGCGGGGGCAAATCATCGCATGCGTGGCGTCGAACGGCTCCCCACACACACAGCTCGCTGGTGTGTCCAAGAGAGACCAACCATAGCGGAGAGCTAGAGCGTCGCGGAAGTCTCCCTTGGACAGATGGTGACCATGGTCTGCCAGAGGCAATACCCCGAGCCAACTCGACACGCCTTTCGTGGATAAACTCTCCAGCCGACGAGCCAGGGCAGGGGACGCACTGCTCTTGATCGTGACGAAATCATTCTGCTCCCTCTGACGACGGTCATGCGCTAGCCGTGTCTTCTCGCTTAGGGCTGCCTGGCGAACATCCTCCGTGGAGCTATGGGTGTATTGATCATTCTGGTGTACAATCTCCTCCACCTGAAGGGCCGTTACAGCTCTCGACGCAGGGAGCTCTGCCGTACCCATTTGCTGAAAACACGGCAGGGCCATCCCCCCCAGTCGACAGGGCAGGCGGAGAAGGTTCAATTCTTCTGGTAGGAAGGAATCACGGCCCGCTAGAGCAGGTAGAAGCTCCTCTGTGATCACCTTGTCAAGGTCGGTAAGGCATTGTGCAGGGAAAGGTACTGTACGCAATAGGTAGGTCCACCTACCACGTAAACCATGAGATATTGCAGCATAGGCAGCATGTGGCTCCGTTTTTGCAATCTCTGTAAGCTTCTTCAGCTCTTCCTTCCACTTCGCCACCCGTTGCTGCACACTTTCCGCGACAGCCTCTTCCGATCCAATCTCGGAGCCGAGATAACGCAAGCTCCCCGTGACAATCCGGATCCCTGTCTCGGCAAACACTTGGCGTGCTTCCTGCTCCAGCTCTGGCTTGACAAGGAGCTGGGTCTTTTCGGAGTTCGTGAAGTATCCGTATCGCCGTCCAATTGCCTGCAGCTCGTCCCACCACAACCGGATCTGTCTCAGCCTACCTGCTCCGCTGGAATCATCCGCATACCAGCTCTGCCGGACTGATGTGTGCTGCTCCTGGAGACGAGTGATGATCGGTATGGTGGCAACTGCGTAAAAGGCCATGGAGAGGGGGTCGCCCTGAGTGGTTCCCTCACTCGACTTGACTTCCCCTCCACCTGCAACAAATAAACGTGCAGCCGTTTGATAGGAGTTCATGATGACGCTGGAGAGGGCAGGACATAGCCGCTGGACATTGTGTAGCGCCGCTTCTCTGTTCAAGCTGTTAAATGCATTGCGAGCATCCACCAACAGCACTCCATCTGTCTCCTCGTCATTGTAAATCTGCTGCACCGCATGCACGGCCGCCTCTATCCCAGCTGGTTGGCCCGCACACTTCTGGATAAATCCGCAGGCTTTCTCAATATCCGGGGCTGCGACACGAAGTACCGCCTTAGCAACAATGCGCCTCAGCACCTCGCCAACCCCGATTGGGCGGACCCCAGGCTTCTTGTCCAGTGCAATTAGCCGACCAGCAAGAAATGGAATGAGGCCCTCCGATGGTATGACACGGGTCGCAAGCAAGCGGGCGCAATCAGCCATTGCTTCGCAAAGGCGTGTTGAGGCTCCTTTGTACGCCAAACACATGCGGCGCCAGGCAGCAGCATCCAGACCGGAAGGGCCAGCGGAGCCTTCTGTGTGCTCGGCGATAGACTTGAGGAGATCCGGGGTCAATGGGTCAAATCGAATGCCGTCCACCTCGGGGGGCTGTCCACTCAACAAGACTTCCGGGCTGGCAGCCAGCCTCTCTGGGTGCTTCTCCTGAAGAAGGTCCCTGACAGAGCTTCGGGTGCCGTCCTTTAGAGTGACCATGTCGTCTATTTTGAGCACTCCACTGTCATCATTCCCGCTATCCAATGAGCGCAGTGCATCGTGTACTCTTCCCTTCCTCATGTGTTCAGCAAACATGCGGGCTCTGTCACTCTCTCCTTGCCTCTTGCCACCCGGCCTAGAGCGAAACAAGGTGTCCTGCAGGCAACGGCCCTCCGCAAGCAGTGCATCCAAATCACCGCCCCGCCACAAAGCCATCCGCCTCTGAAGATGGTCAGCGTTAGCCTTAGCTTTGCTCTTACTGTGAGTCACCTGCAACATCAACGATGGCAAGACCGACAGATTATACATAGCACTCGCATTGGTGCCTGCCGAGTCAACGAAACTGCGAAGTTGTGCGGCAATGAGGTTGACAAAATCCTTTCCAACGGACCCTGTTGGAATCTTGAAAAATCTCTTCCTCCAATGCACAACCTCGTCAAACGCAGAACTGATTGCTGGGCTGGGCGGTATTGTTTTTAAGATTTACATAATTATTTATGCATTACATACTATGATCACGCTGGCTCCATCCCTTATTTCCTAAGCTACCAAGCCTACATGGAGAAATCTGGCCGACAATGCATGATCTGGCGTCACAGGTCATCAGTGCACCGTGTTAATAATTATCGTGATAATGGAATTTGATCATAGGAGATAGAACAGAAGCGGAACGTATAATTATACCCACATAATGATAATTATTACGCGTGCTGTGGTATTATTATTATTATTGATGTCAAATGCATGGATATGGATTTCCAATTTTCCGTGAGTTTGGGCTTGGAACACTACTACAGTGAAGAGCTGCGATTTGGAAGTGACTGTAAGTTCTCTTCATAGTTGCTGTGGAATATGGGAATTATTAAGGAGCCGTCACCTGCACTGTCGAATCTGGGATGTTTCCCATTCCCCGTCAAAATGGGCAGCTGGAGCGTGGATTCACGGGCTCGAACCGGAGGAACAAGTACTTGTACTCTAAGACGTGTCAAGAAATTACCCCCTCGAGCAGAAGTAAGAGTGAAAAACGTCTGCCTCCTCAGGTGATGCCGCGAAAGTTTGCACTAGGCACAGGCATCGAGGCCAAGTGGTCCATTGAGTTTTGTCAGGCAAACAATCGTGCTTGAAATACCCTCTTTTCTCAAGAACACCCCCCCCCCCCCCCTCCTTCACTGCTGCATGTTCGTGTCTTGTAGAGTTAGTATTTCGATAATCCATGGGACTTATGAAACATTCCCCCTGATAATAACTTTTGTGTAGAGGGCGTCGGCCAAGATTATGCTTCAACATACACTTGAATCTACATGTACATGTGCATTGGGCGTTATCCAGGACCAAAGCCAGTAATTCAATAATACTAGTTGACATGGTAAACACTGACGATACGATTATTATGCTACACCCTGATCAAGGACCCGGAACTCTCGCTCGATGATTTTTTTCCCCTCTTGTTCCCTTTCCATGCATTTAGGAATATTGCGTAGGAGCTACTGAGACAAGCATATGTAGGGCATTGCTACACCTGCGAGCCGAGCCACCTAGGATTAAGTCGTAAATGCAACAACGCTCGAAGAGGATATAATGAAACGCGAGGAACTGACACGGCGCATTATCATTACCGCTTTTGTGCAATAATCATTCTAGAATACAGCTGCCGTTGCATGCTCTCTGATAGCCAGTCTGTCTTCAGTTCACAATGGAGGAATACCAGTTGAAGCCGTCCGCTCATCGTCAAATGTGCCAATGTGCGTGTTCTTGTGGACAGGGAACATGGCAAAGCCAACTGAGATTTGCGGCGCCTCACTGCACAGCTGGAGCGGAGGTTTATGAAGATGACAGCTGGTCCCAAGCAGTCTTAGACCGAATGTTACCGGCGACATCTCATAGGGCTGTGTGTCGAAAACATGTGTATCCGGCCAAGAGTAGCAGTGTTGAAAGGAATTTCATGCCAAAGCATTTGGATATTTCCTCACGAAGTCCGACAAATGGGTGCGTCGAATCATATGGAACGTCGTGCATGGGACGTTGGGTGCCGGAGCCCTTGGCTCAATCTACTCCACCACTGCCGACTCCCCCACCGATTCTTCAACAAGTTTCTACAACACCTATCTATTCCTTTCCGTTGGGTGAATCGAAAGGATCATCTCATGACTTGAATTCGCACTCTCCAATTGGGATTTCAACGCATCATTTCGCGTTACCATCACTTCAAATCCGTACTGGCTCAGTAAATGACGAAGTAGACGTACGTAAGGTTGCTGAGTTACCTCCTCCACGCTCCCCATCACCCCCGCCTTTTCCACCAGGTTATCCCACTGCAAACATTGTAACACCTTACCAAGTCTCTTTTCTTGTAGATCCCAGCACCCTTCCACCACCCCGTGCGAGCATGCTAGAGCCTGATACCTTAATTCATGAATTTGGTGATGTACCTGCCCTAGCTAGCCTGCGTGAACATCCAAGTACGTGTATACCTGTCATCGGAAATGCTCAGGTAATTTACGCACCGCCATCTACAGTGTCCGCTCGGAGTAAAGAATCTGCCGTCGATAGCACCGTGGTCTATATGTCCGCCAGTGAGTTAGACGACGAGTCAGAGCAGGTTGCGCCGCGCGTGTCTGCCCTCAATGCCGCATCAGAAACGCCACCTGCTGAAACGTGTCCGTCGAATGGTAAGTCAAAACTACGAGTAAGCCGTGTTCTCTGATGGGTTGACCTACATGCACCTGAATTTGTTATCAGTTCTTGAGGCCGGGATATGTCTCAAAGTGTTCTGTGGCCTTAAAGCAGTCTGCTGATTATGTAGAATATAGAGGTATAGGCAAGAGTCGAGAGCTAATAGTGTGATTGCGAGCAAATTTGCAAGCTCAGGTAGGATTAGTACAGGCGTTTTCACGCTTCAAGTTATCATATCAACTTATGACGTTTTCATTAAATTTCATGTTAACCTACGTGTACGTGTGTACGGTCACTTCCATGTATCATTATTTTTTCTCATCTCCAGATGGTACGTCTGCCAAAAGCCAGCAGACCACTTCTAAAGGCAAGAGTGAGTCAAGGAGGCGGACACATAATTTGGCCGTCGCTGCTAGCATCATCATGCTGTTGCTGACCAGCCTGTGCATCGCCGCCGCTGTGATGGTAATCTACTTCAGGACGTCCGCGCAGCCAGCTCCGGGAACGTCCCCAATGACGTCATTTACAAGTATTGTAACACCGACATCGGACGTGCGAGTGAACCAACGGACCAGCGACGCAACAGGCATGCATGGCTTTGCAAGCACACTTGGAGTGACAGTAGACCCAGAACGTACGTACATGTAGGTAGAATTGAATTATAACTTCAATTTGATAATCAAAGAAAACTCTCGTAAAATCTGGAAATCCGACATGCTCTTCTTCTATCACAGCGCAGTAAAAATGCGTCTGGTTTCGCGGCTAAAAAGGAGACTGGAGTAAAATACCAATGTTGCAATAGATGCCAATAGGGTGCAACTTCACAGCGGAGTCTCCATGCCAAAAATGCCTTGTGAACTATTATGGAAACGATACTAAAACAATGTACACAGTAAAGAGAAGTACATGTAGAAAGAAAGAACGATTGCAAAAATGATTCGAACTATAAAGTCGTTTTTTGGATCGGAATTTGTTATCTCAATGGACTGCAATACACTCTCGTCTCATTCTATGCAGGGAATTGCAGTATAATGGAGGTCACGTGCGACAATGAGACGGAAACACTCAATCTGGTAAGTGCTGATAAAGTTTTTTTTATTTTTTTTACTTTGTTCACATTCCCAGCTCGAATATAATAAAGGATGACAATGGTACTGAGACTAGGACATATACGTACTGCATAGTGTTTTCCTATGTCACTATAATTACCCTCGCTTTAGGTGGATTGATGTGGTGAAATCCGACATCTCCCCTCTCGGACACCCTCGAGGATTGTCTCAACACTGCACGGGACAAACCGCTATGGCTGGACTTCGTTGACTATTGTGCTTTGGTGTAAAAAATGGCATGTGCTTGTCATGAACTGGAACCTGTATATCGTTTTTCGTATGCCATTCTTCCTGCTGCAATTTCATGATGAAACAGTTGACAGATGCGTGGAATCCATTATTTGGGAGACATGCGACCTGTATTTATATTATTATTTTAGTATCTCTATAGGCAAACATCAGGTTTGCCATCAAACAATCATACTGTTGAATTCACCAGCTAAAGTGAATTTTGCGTTGTCCACTGTTTTGTGCCAAGTGCAGGGCAAATGTTTTGATGATATGACCGTCCTTAAAGGTGGGCTTAACAATGGTGATGGCACCACTCCTTGCGACAAATTTATTGGATATCCACCATTCGACATCCACCATCTTCAATGGCACATGTTCATTGTTTTTGTACCATCTCTCCATTCATGTGTCTGGGAGACATTAATAGTCGTTAATGGCTGATCATAGTCGTTTTAGCATATTTTGTCTGATAATCTATTCTTTTTTGTATTTTCAGGTTGACTGCATCTGTGATTGTCTTGATGGGTGGACAAGATCCACGAACGGGGACTGTATTAGGTGTATTGAAGCGGGTTGCAGTGGCAATGCTACCTGCGACATTGTACTACGAGATGCTGGATCATCCCAGCCGAACGTCACTTGCCAGGTTAGTCATGGATAATTCAGAGAGCAGCACACCTGATTTTCTTGCCTGTGACCGTATCTTTTTTAAACTCCATGCATTCTGTGGAAGGTGCTGTTGTTAACATTCGACCCACTCGTATATCGAGAGACACACGCAGGTCTCTTTCTCATCTTACAGCATTACACTTTGAATTTTTTCTCATCATTTTTACGTTTGTTGAAACCCATTTGCATTGGATTCGATGTGGCAGGATCTTGATTTGCTGTGGAACGCACCTGTTACCTACCCTCTGTTAAAACGTACCATTGCCTATTACACACCTTGTGCAGAGCACGGGTGTATTGATCCACAGTGAAGTATGATCAAAGAATAAGTTCCTTGGATAAGGAGACGGGCAAAAATGTTACGAGTTATGACTAACTGTCCACCAACGTTACCAGATCATACTTATACAGTCAGGTTTGGTGGACAGTTGGTCATAACTGGTAACATTTTTGTCCTTCTCCTTTTCTTCTATAATTAAATTGGATCACCATCTGAGTTTCCCGGATAACAAAAGAATAATATTATCTTAACCATTGGGAGCACGCGTTACCACAGTTCAACTGTACATTTGCCTAATGTCAGACACAGCGTCGAACAAGACAGTGTTCTTTGTATCTGAGGGACGTCTTATCCCACCACAGTTCACTACACTCGGGACTCGAATAACGTCCGTAATAAGCAAGAGATTATCTTATCAGGGTGCGTGCAAAGTGATTTCAACTGTACTCATTGTACCGTCTTCAATGTTTTGTGTACACTCCTTAGTGCGTGGGTGGATACACTGGAAATGGCGTGGACTGTATTCCAGAAAATATTGACAGTCGTCAGTTTGAAGATTCATGGTAGGTATAGTGAGGACCGATCCCCCCCCCCCCCCCCCCCACCAAGATCCACTCCTTATGTGCTCCAGCTTCATCGTCTACAGAGCCGATCAATGGAGTTGGTTCGAGCATCATGTGTCTGAGTGGGGCTCGACGAGTTTGATGGCTGTGCCTCCCTGGCTTTTGTGGAGGCTAAGGTGGCCCTTTGGGCTTTGGCCCGTGATTGTGTGAACTTGAGCTATGCTTCTCTAGCTCTCTGATCGCGTGTGACTTCATCGTAAAATATTTGGGAATATTATTGGGATTATTTACCTTGTACTTCAACAACAATTTCATTCTGTGAGTTGCTTTCCAATCACAGCGATCACAGGATTCTTCACGCCTGCAGGCATATTACGCAGTCAATGATTTCAGATTTATTCGCATAGCCCTGCATAACCAGTCCTTGCACTGATGTCTGCAGAAACTGACGTAGATCTAGACTGGGAATCATGTGCGCTTTTGCTTTGTACAACACATCTTCTGTCACCATTCAAGCGTCCTGGCCTAGAATTGCTTCAGCCCGTACAGCCAGTCAAATAAAAAGTGATGTTCGGCCCAACCTGATGTATCTTCCGGGATTTGAGAAGCAATTGTGTCTAGAGGGGCTGCTTGGCTTGTTTATCGAACATCCCTTAAGGTGGCTCAATTAGAGATAATGATAATGACGAACACAGACTGTTCTCCACGTAATGTTCGATGGACTCAACTAATGCTGCTGCCGGCAACGTATGTTATAGGGTACCATAAAGTGAACGATATTGGATTTAAAACGAATACCCGGAACACATAATATTCTAATTAAAGGTAGGACTAGTAAAAGGCGTTAGTATATGGGCAGCGAGCGGAGCAGTGTGATAGCATGTGCACATTGGACAAGTGCAGGTGAGAAAGATACACGTATGTGAGTGGGTATGCAATAAGGCCTTTATTAGTGCTAGCGTTTGATTGTTAGTGTGTCTGGTATCAGTTTTAGATCCAATATCGTTCACTTCATGTGTCAATATATGAAATATAGAACGAGTAGAAGACTGAGGCGAAGCCGAGATCTTCTTAAAACGAGGCCTATATTTCATATATTGACCGATTATGGGGGCAATAATATATTTATCACGACACGGCATATCTAAACTGTTTTAGCTTTATCTATAGGAAGAAAGAAATGTGTGTGATGTTGACACGTGTATATTCATCTGATATGATAATTATTATCGTTACCTGTTGACGCTCCAACAGTGCCCAATTTTAATCTACAGCATTATAACTCATTTGAAGAGTCCTACAAGAAGACCAATGATTGTGTGGGTTTAAGACTTGAGTGCGACGAGTTTTCTTACAATCGATGGCCATGTGAAGAAAACATGCCCCGCCAAAAAATAACAGTGTGAGGGGACACGTGCATGTAAAAGTTGGAAAACGTAACCGGAGTTCCCAATTTCCGTCCATAGGCGTAGTGCTAACGATTTCATCTCACTATACATTTCCGTCAGGATTGGCCAGCCAGAGTTTGTTGATTCAGTGCATATTATGCCAGAATGATGACGCCATAGCAGGACCTTTTTTTTACTACTAGTACGTGTTCTGACCAACCTCCCGTAGAACAACATAACGTCGTGTGCGAGAGCTCAATCAACTCCAGTCGAACGTAACTGGAACAGTCGCACAACTGGTGCACACGTGTATATGCAAGTACATGTACATGTACAACTAGTAGAGTAAGCTTGAACGTGTACCTTAAAAGTAAAAAATGTATGCATGCCAACAAAGAACAGAGTCAGAGTCATGACAAAACAGAGACAAACATTTCGGAGAAGAGGAGAAGAAATATGCATATAGGTTCTCGAAAAAACATGTTATATAAAGCTCTCTGGCACCATGACAAGTAGGGCTTGAGGTACATAATATGCTAGAGCCATAGCTAGTGCGCAACACATTCCAGGATTTGCAGGACCTCTTTCCTTTGACTCATCAAGAAGTAAGGTTCTACAAGGAAAGACACCCCTGACAGATATACATGCATATGCATGTAAATATGCAATGCATGTTTATCTTCCCTGCCACCTACATGTACACGTACGCGTGGAAGAATCAAACTACATGTATATGAATTAATTGAGAGGGACTTGTATAGGGTCAAATAAGATTCACATCTACTCTCATTGTGACCTAGAAGGAGATGGCATAAATTCGAATGGCTGACAATGACACTGGATAGAGAAGACTATAATTATGATTAATAATATTCTTGTATCTAGCAACTCTGAGGGATAAAAGAAGGCTTTGTTGGGCCAAAACTTGAAGCACAGTTGTAAAAACACAGTTCAGTGGACAGCTGCACGTTGAAAGAATGAGTGCGTTTCACTCAGCGTCATTTCCCCATTCACCCAGGCCATGATGCCGTCACGAACCGTCCTCGGAACTGTCTTGCGACTTTCTACCACTTCCCAGAATGGCCTGGTGCCTCTGGAGGCACGGAGAGCCGCCAAATTGAACAGCCCTCTGTCAGTGAAGTACTTGACGATGACGTGAAGCTCCTGCTTCAGATCAGCTTCTTGTCCAGAGTACAGTTGGAGAATGAAGGTGCGGACTGTGATAGATTCCTCTCCCACTGCATGGAGTCAGGGTGCAAATGAAGAAAAAGAAGATTCCAACCGGAAATGCACCAAGGGTCCAAAACCATAGAGCCCTATGTACCAACAGTTAGTCTAGAGGCTACTCTGGGGGGGGGGGGGAGGGGGGAGGGGAGGGTGGAGATATCAAGAAGGTGCCATTTCACTGTGCAGATGGGTCGGGTCAACGGGATTGTTCCCCAAACATAGAGCAGAGCATCTTTACTAGTATAATTATTAGGCTTCCGTTCACCCTGAGATTCATCGTGTGAGCTCACCTCGTACCCCCATAATGGTGCCCCTCCCAGTTGAGATACTGCCTAAGAATGAACGAGGCCTGATCAGAACACACTTACCGTTCTCATCACGGGGGCTTAGTCTGCGGCCTCTTGTTCCCTGCACTCTGCGTAGCCGTTCTCTCACAGCTTCCTGGCAGAGCGTGTAGATCTCGTCCAGGATCGAAAGCGCTGTCCATTCAGCACCTTGGTTTCGAAGCAGCGGTGTGCAGCCTCCATGGCCAGTGACTGTATGACAGACATACAATGGACAACAGTGGCCAATCGTCACATTCAGACAACATGGTTGGCCTGACGGAAAGTTCGGGTTTTCCATTTATTTCCTGTTTGATAGATGAAGATGTAGGGGTTTTTTGTTGATTTCTGTGTGGGCTCAGTATCTGGAGAGATGACATTATAATATTCCGATGCGGGAACGTTTCTTCAACATTGCATCGGCCATACACTTGCACGGTCAAGCTTTTAGAATGTATAGTGTACAGGTGAAAGATGCATAACATGGCTTCTCGCCTTTGATGATAAGCCCATTGTACAATGACGCAATTTGTACCCTGAACACCCCACACAGGTGACACAGCCACCTGAGCATGGTCGTCTGGGGAGTTGTACATTGCTGATCCCAGCGTACTCACATGCATTACTAATACATTCCATATTTGGCAATGCACAATGGGCTTATTGAGGGTTTTCTTTCAATAGATTAAATCTGGAAAATAACTTACCATCACGGAGAACGACATCGGCAGGGCTAAGTCTAAGTTCCTCTGGCGTCTTCCAGTTCGGAACTACTGGCTCGCAGCAATCAATGAGAAAGACAGGATCTGTCGACTCACTGCTGCCATCAATAAGACTCCGTGTAAGTTGCTTTAGATCTTGTTCACTGTAGCCGTTCGCTACAGCACGAGATGTGTGCGTGAGAATCCACACTCTCTTCGTCGAAAAGCCAGCATCACTAGCTTCTTCTGGGAGCACTTTTGCTAACAACAGCAACATACAATCAACAAATACACAGTACACAAATACACATACTGCAGTCATCATAGCAGTTAAAGTCAGGATTGTCCTCACAACATGAGCCATGAAGAAGGTGATCCTCCTCTTGTTGACCTCTATTCCTTACTTATACAAAATGTAATGGGGTAGGAGTAAGAGTGATCATACAATGTGAAGTCGAGCTCAAAGCAGGGGATTTTGTCGGGAAGGTTTCGGAAGCGTAAATAAAAAGTGCCCAACCAACGCCGAGGACCGCTGTCCATTCACAACATTGTTGCCTGTATACCATCAATTTTTCAAGCCCGTGCACGGGACAACAATGTGAGGCACCTCCACAAGTGACACTGACTCACACTGCTATCTGGTGTTCACGAGGTGTTTGTCGCACTGTTAACGGAGCGTCTCTTTACGGTTGTATCTCTGGTGATGTTTGTGCCTGGAGAGCACCATATATTTGGTGCTCTTCAGGCACAATCTTCCTCAGCCTACTCAAGCTCAACTGATGAGGGGTGGCATGAACACTGGAAATACATTACTTGAAAGCCGATCTGCCTAGAGGGCATGCACATTCAATCACAATGTTGAGATCTCAAGATTTATGGATGGCACTCACGGTTGTACAGGGTTCGTAAGTATGAGCAGAACCTCAGGCACAGCTCCCTCATCTTCGGTTTCTGACGTGGGTCTAATAGGTCTTCGCCGCTGATCACAAAGGCCACAACCTGACAGCCGTCCAGTACAGTGTCGTAGTCGATGGGTTTCTGCTGAGGGACATGGCTTTTGTGCTCCTGCGAAACCTCTTCACCATCCTGAATGTGCCGATGGAACATGTTCAGGAGGACGTTGTTCGCTTCGTATGGATCCTGGAGTGCAACGGACGGCGTATCTATCACCTTCAGGTAGGGATTGATGCGATGATGGGTCACGTGACGAGTTGTACATCCAGCTAGTGTGCTGCGTGACATGAAGCGATGTGTAATGGCCTTCTCCATCAGCTCCACGAGTGCTGTTTTGCCTGACGAATCCAAGCCGAGAAGAAGTGCGTGCAGTGGCTCCATGCCGGGACCGAAGTAATCCAACACCTCTCGACACAGCTCCTGCTCCGCACCGACCGTTAGCCGTTTCCTCACATCTGATATTTTGGCTTTCAAATCCGCCTTGGCAGCCACCCTTCGCCGATTTGGTCTTGTCAACTCGCTTTCTTTTTGATCGTCTGTTTTGTCCAGCGTCTCTGTCCGATGCTGTGATTCTTGGATAGGAACTTTCGTCGTTCCAGTTTCTACATGTGCTGGAGTGAAGAGCAGATAACAAAAACAAAAAAACATCCTGCTAGTTTAATCACCAACTTCTTCGCAATGAGCAACACGTAGAAGGCAAAATGGTATCCCAGTGCCCAATTTTCGTCGTCAATATTCCATTGAAGCAACAGAAGGATTCACTACATGCAATAGCAGCTCTTTAATTTATTTGATTAGCCAAGTATGAGCTGTTTTAATCATCTACTTCGGGCAGGGTATTATAGATACTTACGAGTCTGTCGTGCCTTCGCCCAGTTCAGGTCGGAATCTGGTTGAAACTCTCTGACTTGTATCGGCTGATCCTGGCCCAAGCCCTATAAGCAGGCACACCCAGAAGTAGAACGGGATACCAGTTAGAGAACAGCACAGATCATGTCTCTACGCTTTGAAAACATGAACTATTTGCATGTATCTGTATGGTCCAGCAGTATCAATTTTGTCAGGCACTGCCACTGATAACAAGGCATGAAGCATGTGAATTTGACTGGTCAACAATCCCATGCAAACGCGTTGTGGCTGGTGCACGATGTAACCGACAATGGTAGGTTGCAAAACTGCACAATGGGAACAAGACTTGGCTAGGAAGGACACTGAAAAAGTTTAATATTCCGACGATTCGATGTCTTCTTCAAAATGAGGATGGTTAATGAAGCAGCACTCTTTTATTGAATGGAATTTTATGCATAAAGCTGGTGTAGGACGTCTGAAGGAGAGCAGTAAGTCTATGAATTAACATATAGCCGAATTGTGAAACGCATTGGCGCCAATAGGTACTTGAATTGCACACTATATCACAAGAAGGAAGGATTTTCCCCTTTGACATCCAAAGACCGTAAACATTCCAACCTGGTGACTAGCATTGTTGCTAGAAATATCAGAATACTCCGTTGTCGCCCCGGAAACGGAACGTCTCTGTAGATTTGAATCCCTGGGGATGTTTGGGCCAGAAGAGCAGTATAAGTGGTGCTCCTCAGGCACAATCTTCCTCAACCTAATCAAATTCCCCGAAACACGGTTTAGTGAGCAGGGAGTGGTGCTTTCTTGCAGATTTGGTGAGTGGACGGTTCGATGGACTTCTTCTGTGCCCTGGATGGCAGTCGTGAATTAATTGTCAAATCAAGTCGACGGAATAGCATAAGCTTCAGTGTGGGGCGCAAACCATTTCCTAACAATCATCGCCAAAGTCGCAACCACTATTTCGTTTTGTTCTGCCCAGGGTGGGCTTGCGACTAGCAAGTTTGGAGGTGACAGCATTGTCAATGATGGAGGGTCCTGGACGTCTGCTCCCATTGCTAACATTTTGCATACTTCGAAGTAGCTCGATAATGCAGCACAGATATAGTCTACAAGCGTGTAGATACGTAAATGATCATGGAAAAGAAAAGAGTTTTGACCGTATCTGAGCTGTATTATACCAATAGCCGTGAATTCTGGGGCAGAATATCAGAAATTCCGTGCAGAATTCTGGGGCTGAAAACAGTAAATTCTGCGGAAATTGTGCAATCCGCGGAATCTCGGAATTCACGGGGGACAGATTATAGAGCCATGTGAAATGGTAGTATTTTTTGATTGGGCGAATACAGTTTATCACCTGGTGTTTTTCCAAGAACCCTGGGCACCGCGTGCTGATTTGAGAATATTATTGTAACTTCTCAGTGTACACCTTGCCTAGTTTCTTGCATCCATACTACTCCGTATAAACTACAATTGCCAAAATTATCAATTACAATATCAGTATGACCTTCTCTGATGAGCCTTTGACAGGCGACGCAGCTGTCAGAAGGAAATATTATACCCATGACCCCTTTGTTGCTTGAAATTACTGGTGTGAGTAATGGCTACCGAGGGTAGCAATGGTCGGCTTTAGAGTGGAGAGAGGAGGAGAGTTAGTTTGTTGTATTATTCAACAGCCCAATGGTACCGTTGACAGTTTTATTGATATTCAGACTGACTTATTGAAATTTTAATCAGATTAGATAGAGAGGGAAGCAGCAGCTTTCGGCTGTGTACAGATCTTTCATTAGCGAGACGTATTTCCCTGATGAATGTCTCTAGAAACTTGTTAGTAAACTTTATTATCCATCTTTTATTTTTGTTCATTTCTACGTCCAATGTCCGCTTTGCTGATCGCCATAATAAAGATATTTCATCAATGACCACACCAAAACTGCTTTGCTGGTGGTATGCTGCAGCAACGTCGTGTGCGGGCGGCTGGGGAGCACAGCTCTGGTGTGGTGGCTGATGAAATTCATTTAGTCATCAGATTCAACGTGATGATGCGGAGGTTGCGTGTTTCAACACGACGGGTTTCAGTAATTTACTTACCTGCCTAGGCGCAGCTCCTCTGTGACCCACTTGTCCTTGTCCTGCCCTGGGTCTCGAATGCTGTGGAAATCGACCATTGTGATTTCTGACCGACGCAGCACTTCCAGAAATACGCTCGCCTTGTTGATCAGCCATCAGTTTTGCAATAAAAAGATCTTCATATAGGAGCTAAACTACAAAGTGTCTGGAGTCTTTGGTGCAAATACCTCAAAAAGGGCAGAGCTTACTACACGGGGCAGAGCAACAGAGACCAAAAATCGTTCTGGTAACTCCGAGTTTCGTGTTTCAAAAAACACTCATCAGACGTAGGAGCAAACAGAGAGCTCCACAATTTTCCATGTGGAATAAAATAATCTGTCCCTATATCTTCTCACGGCACCAGGCTGTACGTTTTTGTACTATTAGCAAGGCCCAGGAAATAGAAACAAACGCCGACCAGGAAATTCTTTCCACAAGTTTTAGTGTCAGAAGTAAGCTGTTGAACTCAGTCCACCCGCTTTGATGCTAAAGCTGATACGTTCACCGCTGCACATAAAACCACTTGCCAGTCACGAACATGTTAGCGCTGCCAGCAGGCCGACACGAGCACCTCTGCTCAAACGCTAGGCATACTGCGCATCACCCTCTTCAGCACGCACGTCCCCTAACCCTAGCAGTACATAGAGTGCCTGCAGCGATGTCCACACGTTCATTGTTTCCCGCCCCTCATGCGAAGTAAAGCTCCAGGATATCGAAACACGGAAAGCAACTCGGGAGAAAGCAAACTTTTCCGCTCAGTATTTTCATCATCTTCTGTTTCTTAGCAGTCGTCTCCTCTGAAGGGGGCTAATCGACATGGGATCCGAACAATCGGTAAGCATAAACGGATGTTACGCTTGATCTCCCGCTGGAGAAATAATGCTTTATCAAAATTGCCATTGTCTCTCTGTACGCTGAACGTTTAGTTTCTTACGAAAGAGGTAACGGTAAGGAAAAGAAAAAGAGCTGGTTGCTGAGATGGAAAAATGGGTAAGTTCAAAGTTGTTGTTCCACTAATGCAATGGTACAGTTTTAAACGGTCCTCAACCTGACGGAGCTTTGTGTTCATGGGAATTATCCGGCATTATGTTTTGCTTGAACACAAACCTTGTTCCTGATGTAGATTAGCCGAAATTCAAATTGCTTGCTCAAGGCAATTGGCCAAAGTAAAGCTGTTATGTTTCACCCTTTTCCGTATGAAAATATGAAACTTCTATAGGCTGCTAACCTGTGTCAATCTTTAGTAAATGAGGTATCTGATTGCGAAAACGAAGTGAAGTGTGTCTTTTAGAGTTTCATGATGCTTCGATAGTCTACTTGCTGAGTGGGATAGTGTTTTTGTACTTCGCTATGCAGAGCTCAATGACGTCACTTGTCAGTTTGAGCACTTCGACATGCTACATTCGGCCCTGGCTCAAATCTGGCTTTGGAGAAAAAAATGTATTGCTATCATGTTCGGCATCATTTTTTCTGTGCTGCGCTGGCGCATGGCGAGTTCACAACGGACAGTTCTGTCCGCAGACTGAGTAGCGACATTTTTCTTTCTTTTCCTTTATCCAAAGACAACTTTATATGGCAAACATGAGATGCAGCAAGGGAAGCGTGCACAACATGAATGAGATATTGAGGTTGTTTTCACCTGACATGGTTGGTCTACAGTAAAATGAAAATGTACGTTCCAGAACTGTGGTCCGTACAAGGTCTGGACATGTCCGGGAGGATGGGATTCGAATTTTCTACAATACAGTGAAACCTGTCTAAGACGACCACTCAAGGGACCTTGAAAACGTGGTCTCTGCTACCAGGTGGTCTCCTTATCCAGGGTCATTTGAATGGAAATAGCGTCCCCTGGTCCTGGTATCAGTGGTCTTAAATGACAGGTGTTCGCCTTGAGAAGCGGTGCGTTCGCGTCTATCCTCCAACTGCGCATCCTCCTCTCAAGTTGGCTGGACGCTCGTGGTCTTGTACTAAATGCAAAGAAGAGCAATGTATTGGTTTTTAACAGCAGCAGTGGGCAGCAGCCGGACGTGGTTGTACGCTGTCGAAATGATGTCCTTCCGCACACCACCAGCGCGAAATACCTCGGCATCTTGATCGATGAACGAATGGCCTGGCAACCGCAAGTTGACCGGTGCATCTCACGCACTGCTAGGAAGATTGGTATTCTGTGGCGGGCGCGACGTTGCCTCACTCTAGCTAGTCGAAGAAAGTACTTCCTATCTGTCATCATGCCGGATTTGACTACGGATCGTCCGCCTATGGCTCTGGCTTGACCCACAACCAGCTAAACCGCTTGCAGGTGGCCCAAAACCGCGCAGCAAGGGCGGTGTTCGGACGACCACGATTTACCAGGGCCAGTGACCTCTTGGAGAGGCTCTCTGTTTATCGCGTGGACGAGGTATATCGCCAGAAACTGCTCGTGCTGGTATGGCGGTGCGTTCATAACCGTGCCAGTCCTCCTCTGCAGGCACTGTTTGTCAGCAACTGCGGAGCAACTCGCCTTCAGCGCAGTCTGGGCCTGCAACAACCAATAGCCAGAAGCCGAGCAGGCCAATGCCGACCGGCATCTCGCGGTTGCCTGTTATGGAACCATATACCTGACACGGTGCGAGCCATGGACAACATCCCAGCATTCCGCCGAGTTGCCATTCCCTACACGTTGTAGACTGCTACACAATTGGTCACACCATGGTATTCAGTACCCACGAACTTTGCAAAGCCGCGCCGATAATATGATAATGTACCGTGGTGCATGCACCGATGGTACCACCACTTCGTAGACTGCCTCCCGTTCATTTCTGTGCTCCTGTCTTTATTCTCGTCAGCTGTGTACATCACTACGAAGTAGTGGTTGCGACTTCGGCGATGATTTGTAAGAAAGGGTTTGCTCCCCACACCGGAGCTCGCGCTATTCCGCCGACTTTACTTGACACTTGACTGACTCACGACTGCCATCCAGAGCACACGAGAAGTCCATCGAACCTTCGACTCGGCAAACCTGCAAGAAAGCACCACTCCCTGCTCAATACACAGTGTTTCGGGGAATTCACCCCTCATCAGTTGAGCTTGAGTAGGCTGAGGAAGATTGTGCCTGAAGAGCACCACTTATATAGTGTCCTCCAGGCACAAACATCACCAGGGATACAAACTTACAGAGACGCTCCATTTCCAGCGCGACAAACACCTCGTGAACACCAGATAGCAGCGTGAGTCAGTGTCGCTCCTGGACGGTGAGACCAGACGTTGAGGACCCTCGGTCATTCACAACGCTGTCACCTCCAAACCAACTAGTCGCAAGCCCGCGCTGGGCACAACAGTACGAAGTAGTGGTTGCGACTTCGGCGATGATTTGTAAGAAAGGGTTTGCTCCCCACACCAGAGCTCGCGCTATTTCGCCGACTTTACTTGACACTTGACTGACTCACGACTGCCATCCAGAGCACACGAGAAGTCCATCGAACCTTCGACTCGGCAAACCTGCAAGAAAGCACCACTCCCTGATCAATACACAGTGTTTCGGGGAATTCACCCCTCATCAGTTGAGCTTGAGTAGGCTGAGGAAGATTGTGCCTGAAGAGCACCACTTATATAGTGTCCTCCAGGCACAAACATCACCAGGGATACAAACTTACAGAGACGCTCCATTTCCAGCGCGACAAACACCTCGTGAACACCAGATAGCAGCGTGAGTCAGTGTCGCTCCTGGACGGTGAGACCAGACGTTGAGGACCCTCGGTTCGTTGGACTTCTCGTGTGCTCTGGATGGCAGTCGTGAGTCAGTCAAGTGTCAAGTAAAGTCGGCTGAATAGCGCGAGCTCCGGTGTGGGGAGCAAACCCTTTCTTAGCTGTGTACATCAGCAGTTCAATTCTGTGCTCCAGTCCTCTTTATTCTCGTGAGCTGTGTACTTGTTTTGCTGTTTGTTTGGTTTATTTGAATTTGCTCAGTAACCGTGTACTTCAGCTATTCTCTCCTCCCTCTTCTGAATTTGACTCTCAGCTGGCCTTCTCTCCTCCCATCCCCTTACATTGTATTGGGCCTCCGCAGCTCCCCCCCCCCCCCCCCCCTCCACGCACACACTACATTGTCACATAGCACAACTCAACCATTCGCTACCCTGTTATTGAGCACCCCTGCTCGTTTGGTCTCGCGAATCCAAATAAAATCAATCAATCAATCCTGGAGTTGCTTTTATATTCTTCCAATCTGAGGGCTCCACGGAAGAAGACGGTGACCAGGCATGATGACTTCGCACATCTGTCGCTATGCTCCTTCACGAGACCTGTTTCTATTTTATTTCTTTATTGAGGGATCAGCGTTCCTTTTGGCCGTCTGAGTAACTCAATAATATTGTAACTCATTATGTGTGGGTTGTGTGTGTGTGTGTGTGTGTGTGTGTGTGTGTGTCGTTTTGCAGTTCGATGAAACAATGAGGATGTACGAGCGGTATTGCCTACGACATAGGCCTAACCGCCAAACGCGTGAATTGTTTACAGGTCTCAGCACCATGGTGGAGTTTGGCACACTTCGCATCTTGTTAATTGGTCGCGCTCATGCCGGAAAGAGTGCTACAATCAACAAATTCCTGGAGGTATTCGGACAGCCAGAGACGCAACAGGTTAATCTGCCATATTCTTGCATTCACCAATTCCTGACATCTTGGCCGAGTGTTGTCCTGGAAATCTGGTCTCGAAGTAGAATACAAGGCTGGCTTGAAGAAAGTGCATATCCGCCTTGAGCATGCTATTGCCGCTACAATATCAATTTATATTTCTGCTACAGCAGAGTTACACCTTATATAACATCGTTCCAAAAAGAAGATAATGATGGCAATTAGTGTGAAGTAACTACAAGAGAGTTGAACCGAAAACAGAATTATGTAAGACCTTATACCTGTCGTGCACCGCATCAAAATAGTGTGTCAAATAATGAAGTAAGAAATTAATAATAAAAAAACTACTTTGTAACTCGGATGTTGAGCCATAAATAAATGTAGAAAGGAAAAGGACATAAGGATACGAGTTAAGAGTAACTCTCCATCACTGTAACTGGATACTATAGCTACTTTGAGGTAAATTTTAATCAGGCTTGCCGATAGGGAAGTACTGTATGCAGTTTGTAGGCCCCTCTTGTTGCATGCAAGTGTGAAATGTTCTGTACTCGTAGTGGGCACCCAGAGCAGCAAGGAGTCGACAGGCCAGTTACTTACCAAAGGGGGATTTGCGAGCCTGCTGTGAAGGAAACCACACACACTCATAAAACTAATGTCATACAGAACTGGATTCATGTAAATGACTCCGAACTGGCTATGATAATAGCGTGTTGAAAACCGATAAAAGCATTCTTTAAATTGTACTGCGCACCCTCATCTACGATTTTAATGCTGGTGAGGAATGCCAGTCTACAATTAACAGTGTGGTTATAAGATCACCCGAAACCTCGTTATATAGAATAACAAACATTTGATTGACCCCAACCGGTAGATTTTGACTGGGGTATTGTTTGGTTTTTGGCAAATGCCTTGCAGGAATATGATTCTGGAGAAGGTGACAAGCGTGTAACGGATGTACTGCTGGAAGCGGCCGACATTGCTGGAGAAGGAGGAGTTTTCTTGAGATCTCCCCAGGGCCAGAGTGATGACTATCGCATGAATGCTACCAAGGTCCGCGCTCTCTTCACCAATCAGCTGCGCGACGGTGATATCTATAAACGAGAAATCAGGCAAACTGCTGAAAACTACACGCCTGATGAATGCCATGCTGTCCTGCACATCATCCGGGCAGACCACGTAATTATCACGGATATGCTAGACGAGGAGCTGGATGAATTGAGGTGCACCCAAGATGTCCTGCGTGAACTTGGTACGTGCGGGCATGCTTAATTTCAAACACCCTTGTGGAGGTCTAATTCTTCTCCTACCAGTATGCGTATTTTGCATGCAGTGGGATTTAATTACATGTAGTTCCATTCCTGTTTACGCTAATGGCATACAACGTATAGTCTTTCGTACTGTGAATATGACCCTTATTGACACAAATTGGGATAAGAAGTAGTTCAGCAGTTCGGGCGTTCCCTTCCTTTTTGTCCATGTGGGTCCATCTTATCAGACTTCTATGTAATGAGTAATGAAATCGAGGAGTGTGTGTGTGTGTGTGATTGGGAGGGGGGGGGGGGCTAGGACAAATACCAGTCTTGACTTACTGCTTGTACAGTACGAGGGGGGAGGGGGGGGGGGGCATGGGACAAATACCAGTCTTGACTTGCTGCTTGTACAGTACGAGGGGGGAGGGGGGGGGGGGCATGGGACAAATACCAGTCTTGACTTGCTGCTTGTACAGTACGAGGGGGGGGGGGGGGCATGGGACAAATACCAGTCTTGACTTGCTGCTTGTACAGTACGAGGGGGGAGGGGGGGGTCATGGGACAAATACCAGTCTTGACTTGCTGCTTGTACAGTACGAGGGGGGAGGGGGGGGGGGCATGGGACAAATACCAGTCTTGACTTGCTGCTTGTACAGTACGAGGGGGGAGGGGGGGGTCATGGGACAAATACCAGTCTTGACTTGCTGCTTGTACAGTACGAGGGGGGAGGGGGGGGGCATGGGACAAATACCAGTCTTGACTTGCTGCTTGTACAGTACGAGGGGGGAGGGGGGGGGGCATGGGACAAATACCAGTATTGACTTGCTGCTTGTACAGTACGAGGACATTATGTGTTACATGTATAACCAACCCTGGGCTATAAGGAACTAATTATCCTGCACAATGGTGGCTGTTATATCAGGGGTCGACTGTGCATATTCACATCAAGGGTATGCACGCATGCGCACAAACTGCATTGCTCTTGTTCATTATGCAAGCTTCATGTCAGTCCTGACCATTTACAGAATTAAAAAGAATCAAAACATTGCCCAAAAATGGTTTTATTCCATCCAACAGATTCAGTTGTCAGAGTGGTTGCTGAACCGCGTCAGACTAAATGTTTTGCTTGGTCCTAATGTAGTTTACATCAAATTTGATATATATGTGCTTTGTTCTTTAGGTGTTGTTCCTGTGACGATAATCACGAGGTCTGGAGAGGAAGAGTACAAGGATAGTGACATGGAACTCCGGCGGCAGGTAGCAGCACGTCTGATAGGCTCGCCACTGGAGTACACGTTCACCATCGACAACACTAAGCCCGAAGATGATCCGATTCGCCTGGAGAGGTTGCGCCTGACGCTGCTGCTGGCGTTACGGGCCAGTGTGATCCTAGCCGAACAGAGACTCCACCGCAAGGAGCTGCAGAGACGTCGAATTGCCCGACCACAGCCATCTGAGGACGGTACGTGACATTATTCACAAGTTCGTTTGTCCTGTCCCATTGACATTTTAGTTTGGGGTACACCTGTACATTTTTTAAATATTTTTCTACATCTACTTGTAAGTTTCTTAGTTTCTCAAATTGCCATGGATGTCTGTGAGGCAAAAAGCATGAATCATCGAGCGGCATAATTATGTGCATTTTGCATTGTGTAAAATCGTCTTGCTCTCGTAATCTCCACACTTGGTTCAATTTCCTCTGATGATACGATCAAGAAATAAACCTGAAACCTTTTGTCACCTGCGTGGATTCACAGGAAGCGTGAGTTACCAAGTCTGAAGAAAATGTTCAATTGTCTCTGCTGGAATGACAGCTGCACCATAGCTCAAGTGGTTATAGCATTGCTGGCCTCAAGCGAACGCCCCTGGTTCGAGTCCTGGTGGTAACAGTCGATTTTTTCTTCCGACCTTACCTGTGTTTTTTTTAATCTTCTCCCTCAAATCAGTGAATCTTTTTTTGTTCACTTTTTCAACTTTCAGGAAAGTACGTCGTGGCAGCATTTCTCAAGTCCATTGCCTCACGATTTGGGTGGCCGTCCACGCTACTGGAAGATGTAGAGCAGCGCTTGGCTGCAGTATGGCTGAATAGAAGAAAGAAGAACTTGGTGGACGGCGATTTCATCACCCCGGCTGAGTTTGTCTCAATACTGGCCTCCCGGAACAAAGAAGTATGGGACAGAATCTTCCCGCCTCTGGCCGCTGATGCATTGGAAGCACAGGTGAAGTCACAGCTGCACGGCTTTGCTGAGGACTGTGGGCTAACGAACTACGCTGAACTCGCCCTTCCTACTGTCGCCGATCGTGAGTTGGTCACCGCATACCTAGAAGCCTGCCCACCAAGGGAGGAATAGACAAAAGAAATAATAGATCCACGTTTGCTGTGGTCAGGCACGACCCATGCTATCCGCTTGTCAGAGAGTGGTAAACGATTAAAAATTGAAAGATTCACTAGATGTACTGCTAGTTTGTAAGTGTTCAAGCATTCTTTGCATATTGAGGTAGTGGTATATGTATATCAGCATTTCAAACTGTTTTTAAATCTCGATTTCTCAATGTAAAATGAATAGAATTTTATGTTCGTATGTCTTTACCTATAGAAACAAATTGCCACTCACTTTCACATCAGCATCTCAATTACTTTTTATGTGGAACTTTCTTTCGATACTTACTAACCTACATTTTCAGCTTCACACTTTCCTTCGCTACGACGGGTTTTTTTCCAATATGAATGAACATTGCTCTTCATAGATTTAAATTGTGTGAATGGTATGCGAGCCAGCATTAGCTGGACTTTACGTAAAGAGATCCCAATTTAGTGATTCTCCCTTCCATCCTGTAACTTCATGCATTTTAGTTCTTTCCCAGTGGCCACGAACTCCAATCTGGTTAGAGGAGGAAAAGGGTGGTTAGACCGAGTGCACTCGGCCAACGTGAGGTCTCAGATTCATAGTGAACTCGAGGTACAATTGTCATGAGAGAAAAAGAGGAGAGGGGGGGGGGGGGGAATTAGTTTGAATGCCAGGGGGGCCGTATGAATAAAAAGCGAATCACAATGGCTTTCGTTAAAACCTTTTTCTGCGCTATTTCTCTCCCCATCTCGTCAGGCTAGATTATGCTCATTTCAGGTCGGGGTTAACATCGGTAATCCCTTCCATCCTGTTACTTCATGCATTTTTAGTTCTTTCCCAGTGGCCACGAGCTCCAATCTGGTTAGAATTAAGGAGAAAAGGGTGGTTAGACCGAGTGCATTCGGCCAACGTGCGGTCTCGAATTCATAGTGAACTCGAGGTACAAATGTCATGAGAGGAAAAGAGGAGGAGAGGGGGGTAGTTTGAATGCTAGGGGGCACGTATGAATGAAAAGCGAATCACAATGGCTTTCGTGAAAACAAGCATCGAGTCTATATAACCATAATAAAAAGTAGTATTAATTTTAAACACAATGTTTCAGGAACGGAAATGTGCTATTAACGGCCTGATAGATGCTGGACATTGCCTGAGAAAAAGCTGCGAAATATGAGAGAGAATGTATATCAGGCACACGTTGTAAACAACCAAGCAACATTAGACTGTGATCTACGCATTTTGAATGTCTCATTAGTATTGACACAAATCATAGGTACGTGGAGTGCAATATAGGCAAAATTGGCTTTCTTCCTGTCGGCTGAATACTTTGTGAGGACGATGTGCACCGACATGCTTGCTAGTTTTCGTGTGTAAACACCCATATGAGATGATACATGAAAACAACCAGGCCAAAAGCACCAACAATGATGCCCAGGACAACGAGGCCAGCAAATCTAGCATCCTGGAAATATGGTTCTTTTCGTGCCTAGAAACATGAAAACGAGAAGGCAGAGAGATAGAAACCGGACTAGTAAAGCACATCTGAACGTTATAACTGTCTAGTAACAGTTTGATAACGTGGGCGTAGTGAAATGATCTAAGACCCTGGTTGAAAAAGAGAGGGTACCAAGGCCATGTCTGGTTTGGAAGCGGAAGGATTTTTACTGCCATACAGTGCACCCTACCGCTAACTGAAAGCTCGTGGCCAGAGACCAGGGATGCAGTTGATGAAATTTTCAGGCTTTGACCACTTTCGAGGTGGTTCTGGCATACTCACCTCCTATCCCTGGTAATGGTGGTACTCTAAGGAACTAAACTCGGTGGATTTGGGTCTAACGTTGACCGGTATGTTTCCTGTTTTTGATCCGATGAGAGAAATAATGAATTGTTTTTTATCCTTTTTTACTGGGCGAAACTGGGATAAAAATCTAAGTTCTTTGGTGAAACATCACTTCCGCGTTCGGTGTGTTATGCTACGCAAAATGTATCCCCCCCCCCCCCGGCTCGGTGCTGGAGAGAACAGCAATAAGAGGCAAAGGACAATTACGAGAAAAGAAAATAGAAGGAGAAGCCAGAGGGCCAGATAGTCTTGTAAACTGTGGCGTCGTTACCATGCGACAGTTGCACAAGCCCCAGGGCAGTATCTTGGGCCATACGCTGTTTTTAATTATGTGAATGACGCTGCCGATGATCTTGTTGGCAATGCTAAGCTTGAAGCCTATGTGGATGATACAACACTATACAGTTAAGTGTCCTCAGCTCATTGCCCTCGGGAACCTGGACAGACCTTGCAGGTATCTACACACCGCCTGCATGAGTGGGGTTGCCAGTGGAAAGTATCGTGCGATCCCCCAGGCTATGGCTGCTGCCCTCCGAAGCATTCACCTAGACCTACCCCAATCCTGTTTGGTGGCACCCCTGTACCGGATGAAACCAACATATCATTGCTTGGAGTTCGATTTGGCTCCAAATTGCTAGTCACTTCAGGACCGTGACCATCCACGCCCAGCAGCGCCTGGGCTTTCTCAGACGAGCGGCTCACATTCTAACGCCAGGTGACCGAACGATTGTCTACAAGGCATTCGTGAGGCCCCTGATGGAGCATGCCCCGCTTGTGTCGATGGGCACGCTAGCCAGCCACATTCAACGCCTGGATAATGAGTGTTCAACGCCGCGCACTGCGGATCATTGTCCCTGGAGCAATTCTTCCCAGTCTGGCTGTCCGCCGGACTGTTGCTGCTCTCTCGTGCATGTACAAATTGCATTTCATTACTGGTCCTCCGCAGCTACTTGCTGTATTGCCACCGCATCGCGTTTCTCTTGCCAACCCCAGAACCAGGAACGAGCACAATAATGCCAATAGCCTGTCAACTGTCAGATACGCTCCCCGTCTCAGCTCCATCCGTCGTGAAGAGGTCGTTCCCATACTGCTGTATTGGTGCATAGAACACCCTTCCTGACAGGCTGCTGTCGTAACGCCCGCACAAAAAAGGTTTTCCATCATTCAAGACAAAGGTCTACCGACAGCTGAAAGACAGCAACTGGTACTGGGCAACTGATTCCCTGTAATTTTCGAGCTCTCTGCTTCCCGGACCCACCTGGTACCTGGCTTTGCTCAGAGTGCTCAGCTGTGTTTGGCATACATCAGCAATCCAAACACTGGTATTTCACAATCTCTTTATTTTTCTTGTTTCTATTTTTCTAAACCATAAGTACCGAAGGATGTACCCAGAGTGCTGACAGTGCTCAACACCACAAAGGCAGAGCGTAATACACAATAGAACAACAAGGACAATCAAGGCTTGTTTGCTGCTACTTTAAGTTTCATGCTTACGCAAAAATCAGGAAACTTGCCTGATGATTGCGTAAGCATGAAACTTAAAGTAGCAGCAAACAAGCCTTGATTGTCCTTGTTGTTCTGTTGTGTAAACAATAAGTAAACATATACCGGCACTTTTACCTGCACTGTACCCATTCTACTTCCCCATAGCTAGATCTAGCTTCGCTTTATCCTTTCTGTTTCCTTTTTCGTGGCGCTTGCTCCTAGTGTTGAAAGCAATACCTTTTGTCCGTGGAGCCCCTGGCACCTCACCATCACTGCTGCCCAGTGGAGCCCCTACTCAGTAGCTGTTCTTGTCCACATAATAAATTATTAAATTTTATTATACGAGTTGGCTTTGTGAGTAATAGTAAATACATGAATTAAAAATTAAAACAATTACACACGCGCACACGCACACACTCCTTACCGGTGAACTGCCGCATTTCTGAAGCAAACCAACAGCAATGGTACAGAAACACAATCAGCCATACGTCATAGTTGAAGTAGGTTATGACATATGTCAAACTCCCGGAACCAACTATGAATTTGGAATGATTTTTCTGGTTTTTGTTTGGAAATTTGTGAAGAAATCTGGTACCATTCATTTGATAATAGAGAGTTTATGCTTGTTAGATCACACGTTGCAACGCGAGATTTCAACGCGACAGAGTGCTAAATCACAGTGAAAAGAAGCGGGTCCAAGCACGTTTTTTTCTCATTTTCGAAATTGAACAGCGCGAAGCGCAAACTCTCTACTGAAGAATGAAAACGTGAATTTCTCGGTGGGATCAGAATCGGAGAAGATACATGGCACCAAGGCACGCTCTAAGTGCTCGTAGTGCATGTTCGGGAATTAGTAGCGCTAAGCACTGCTGGTACCTTAGAGTTAGGGGGTCTGAAGAGGGTCTATCCACAACTTTTCAATGAAAACAATAAAATAGCGGGAACAGTCACCAGTCAGGTATGCACACAGTTAAGTTAAATAACTCACCAACAGTATCGCCGTGAATTCATCTGCAACAGCTTGAGGTGGCTGGGAATTCCACGACACAATGCCAACCTTCTCCAAATCCTTTTTGCTAAGCATCGTGGCGCTCTCCTCAATCATCCTCGCTGATCGGCCTTCGTCAATGTCCTGGCCAGGTTTCATGAAGCCAATGTCGAAACAAAGGCAAAAAACAACGTGGTCAAAGTCTGGAAGACAAACGGCGAGAGAAAACAGCAAATACAAGAGGTTCTTGATAATGTCAAAGGCTATTAATTTTTGTGCCCCTCTAATAGAGGCTCGTTGATTAAAGCACATATTTATACGTTCAAACATACTATTATAATCACTAATGGCCAGAAACAAACAGAATACCCCCCCATAATATTGGGTTCCTCAGTTTCTTAATAGAAAAACAATTCACGAGAAAGGTGTTTGCTCCCCACACTGGCGCTCGTGCTTTCGGGCCGACTTGACGTGAAACTGAACTAACTCAAGACTCCCACCCAGAGCACGTAATTAGTCGATCGAGCCTTCGACTCGCCAAACCTGCAAAAAGCGCCACTCCCGTCCCTGCTCAATACACAGGGTTTCGGAGAACTCAACTCCTATCAACTGAGCTTGTGTAGGCTCAGAGGTGTGTGCTTCCTTGCAGGTTTGCCGAGTCGAAAGTTTGATGGACTTCCTGTGTGCTCTGGATGGCCGTGGTGAGTTAGTCAAGTGTCAGGTCAAGGCGGCGGCGCAAGCTCCGTTGTGGAGAGCAAATACCTTTCATAGAGAATATCATCGCCTAAGTCGCTACCGCCATCTTAAATAATCAAATTCAAAACAATTGTTTGCTGTCGTGTAATTTAGTTGCATTGTCCATGTACAGTCGAATACCTCTGATTCAACCAGAGGGACATTTATGAAACGGGACAAATTGGGGACAATTATTTAAAACCCCTTCGAGGTACTAACGACGTATCCAATAACAACGCACCTGTCAGGTTTTGACACAATCTGGCGAGCTTTCCATTCACCCTGTTGTAGACCAGATCTGCGGTGTCGACGATAACTGCAATGTTCAATGTGTTATCGCTCCCGTCGCCTCCA